ATAACTACTAATTTCAACAAAGCCTTACAATGCATTCAAACAGACCTACTTAATTGGAAACAAAACCAAAAAAACACAAGCTGCCCAATTTTCTCCATTTCATACAACACAAAATACATTGCAAATCTCCTACGTAAACACTAGGACCTATTGGAGAATGACCCCATACTGAGGAGTCTATGGCAAGAACCTCCAATTGTAGCCTACCAACGCAATACTAACCTTAGAGACACACTTATCACAGCAAAACTTAACACCAGGCACAACACTACCAAAGCACAACTCTAAATATCACCAAAATCTTCCATCAACCTCAAACCAAAACCAGCTGAAAACCTCAATACAACCCTGAACACAGTGATACAAAGTTTTAACCACTCCCAATTACATTGTGTCTGAACACCACCTTGAAAACATCAAAGTGGATATAACAAAACAAAGAACCTACTGGGGCACACTGGGTTACAAGTGAGAACATGCTGCTCTTAAAGCATATCTGAGCCGATTTCTGGTTTAATTTCCACTCGTTTAACATAACAACTTTAAGATGGCTCATTGCATTGGTTTATCCAAGTTCAAGAACAACTTTGGTTAGATACACAGTTTAATTTTACAATTTTACCTTTTACGAATACACTTCCACGCAGGTTTGATTACTTATGAATATCCCATGAACACACACCATTTTTACTCCTTTCTTATCTTCATGTTTCTTTTACACAAAGCCAACCCTGCTCCCTGCTGACGAGTCCACAAAAGGACGAAACGCTGCTTATGGGGATACTGATTTGCAGGCTTGACTATCCACGCAGGTTTTATTCTTTATGATTCTTGCATGAACACACACCATTTTTACTCTTTTCTTATCTTCATGTTTCTTTTACACAAAGCTAACCCTGCTCCCTACTGACAAGTCTGCTAAAGGACAAAACACTGCTTATGGGGATACTGATTTGCAGGCTTGACTATCTTGTCTTCTGTTTTTTTTACCTACCTTGTTACATAACTTTGATTTTGAACCTCACCAACAATACACAACCTATTACTACACACATAGCTACATATTTTCTTGAAGACTGTCATCACACACAAATAAAACCTTTTTTATAAAAAATTCTAATTTCATACACAACCACATGGTTGGCAGTTGTCCAACAAACTCCCAACCAGCCCTTAATTCACAATTAACTTTTCAACAAATTACTCATGATGTTCTCCTTTTGCCCACAAAAACCTAATGTCCTAACCTTTTTCTCTAGTTGGTTTAACCGATCAAATTACATAACAAATGAAGTGTTCGATTCTAACACAATTTTGTGTTTGCCAGAAATGCTGAAATCTGGTTATGCGACACATATGCATAGGTTTAATTTTGAAACTACTCCACAGTGGTATATTCATGTATATTACATAGCGGTGGTAATAGTCTTTCAGAATTTCCTTAGTCTTTCCACAAATCTGTCTAATGAACTCTTCTCTAAATTCAACAATAGTATAACTTTTCAGGCGATTCAAAAGTGGATTGTTTGGATTGTATAACCGTTAACAACAGCAATATCAATAAGATGGAAGAACAAAGTCTTCCACCACCTATAGCACATTATGGCAAGCAAGCATTTGATCGGATCAATCAACAGCATTCATGAACTGGTTGTACCTATAAAAAGCATAAGGCAGGTCAACATCAATCTCTTCATACACACCACCTGTTTTTGTTCGTCTCTTTGCAGCCACTTTCTCATTCGCCAAATCAATTCATATCACTAATGAGACTTGCTTATTATCAATCCATTGCATCATTAGGACATTTGATTCTCTCTCCAAGCATACTTCCTCAATACCTTGATGAGAATGAGTTAGTCATTAATCTGAATAAGGGGAAGACGGAGGTTATGCTATTTGAAACGGCGAAGAGGATTTCACTACAAAGTCGACAGATGGAAGTAATATTTCGTGGAACATTAATAAACAACACAGAAACATATACGTATCTTGGCCATATACTCGATAAAAATCTATCAATGCTGGATAATTTTGACAAAGCTTATAAGAAATCTTGTAATTGACTGAAGCTTTTGTCTAAATTACGGTATTCGATGAACTCAGACACGGTATTAAGGATTTACCAAACAATGATTCAACCTATTATGACATACACAGGAATACTTAAATTGCATTTCTCAGACACACAATTGGGTAGGATGGAATTGATCGAAAGGCAGGCGAGTTTGAAACATGACTTCAAGTTCGGAAAATCTGGTACCTTCTATCGTGAAAAGTCTACACAAACGAGCATGTAAGACAGTGAGACAATGTTTAGATAAACAAATATGTACCAATTTCCATGAGTACTATAAAATTAATGAGCATAATCGTAACACCAGAAATATGGGAATCCTAGTAAATATTCCAAAAGTGAAATTCGAATTTGCTAGGCAGTCATTTTATTTTCATGGTGCCAAAATCTATAATGATTTGCCTATTGAAATAAGACATGAGCAAAACTATTGCAAATTCCTAAACATGTTGAACGTACACTTCAAATGATATATTTTAATATTTATTTTTATATATAGGATTAGCTGTGTTCTATTGGGATCTTGTTTTTATATAACTTATTTTACATGTAAATAGAGGACACATTTTGATAACAGTGTCGTTTGAACACTGAAATGTTTTTTTTAATCCTCTGTAAAGATTTTATATAATAATAATAATAACTATCTGCTAAGACCCAAAGCTTTATCTCCCATTTGGTTGGCTTGTACTTTATATACAGCCTAATCCCTGACCTAGCTTTGGACTTCACCATTCGCTCATCCACTGCAATATTCTGGTAAGGTTGGTACAATAGATGGCATCTTTCCTTGAATGATGCAAGGAACTCATGAACCTTATAGCACAGGCAAAATTGGACGTTTTTTGAACTTTTTAGGCAGAAGTTCTGTTTGTGATTTTCTGAAAGACGAATACCTATAGTGTAAGAATTGCAATGGTTTTCAGTCTGTGGAGGTGGCATTCACCTGGAACAGGGGGGTAAAGCCATGCGTATTAAAAAAAGTAATTCAATCACAAGTATCAATAAATAGATGTCATGCTCAATTTAAAGGTTACAAATTGTTCAATTATGCATTTTTGAGACTGGGAAGACTTCGCAAATGTTGAAAAACATATCTGAGCTTTTTGTGTATGTTGCCAATTATTCATGGCCTCTCAAGGGGGGTGACGACGTTCAATTTAAACGTTTTCCAACCAAAAGTCGTTATTTTCCGGATATATATATTTGATCTTTTGGATGTAGATCAAGTAAGTACCTCTCGTTCTAATATTTTTGAAAATTGCCATTCTGTTTTACCGACACGTATGGTACTAGCGAAGATCCTGAAAGAGTATAGCACTTGCTCCAGTATAATTTATAGATCAGTGACTTGATGTTTTGATAATTTTCAAGTAAAGTTATAGCATAAGTGTTTACCTAATTTCATCATTGCTAACATATAAAATGAAATCAACTTTAACTTTTTATTCATTTAGATACCCTGTGTACTCTTAATCTTAAGACAAACTGAATATAATGTTTAAAAACTTTCAAAAATATTTTTGAAGTGACCCAAAATTAATATAAAATTTCAATATGGCGGCCAATTGAACTTAGTGGCTATTTTTGGGTGTGCTTTGAATTCGATTATTTTTTAAACACATGCACTTAGATGAATCCCACTTATATTATCAATTTTTTTAACCTATTTAATTTTATAAACCAAAGGCAATTTAGTTTGTTAACCCTTTCTTTCCAAAATTAATAATTATACAAAGCAAAAAAATCTATTTTATGTTTTATTGAGGTTATTATGTGAAAATGAGCATTAATAGAAAAAGAAAGAAAGAAGACAGCCTTGTATGTGTGCTTCATTATGCCGACCAAACATTGTACAGCACTGTCAAAGAGTTGTCTGATATCAATAAAGAAACAATCGTTCAGACGAAAAGAAAAAAAACGAACATAGGAGGATCACATTCACATGCAGAGCAATGCTTAACAATACCTGAAAACTTCAAAAGTGGAAAAACATGGCGTCTATTTAGAGCCTTGTTATAAACGGTATGAAAAGCTTAACATGCATACACATGTATGTTTACCAAAAGGACAAAGCACAGCGCAGTTTGTTTTATTAAACTGCCCAATTCCTTTTCAGATTTACCACAATACTTGGAAACAAGAAGTTTAATAAACCTTCTACCAAGGAGGCCCAAGCTAGAAGTAGCAAAGCACAAAGTACCGAAGCACAGTCAACGATTGTTTATGAAGATAAATGCCAATTCTGTGGGAAAAATCGTGTCCAGCATGGGGGGAAATAAAGGTCAACCAGTAACAATTGTTACAAGAAGGGCAGAAAACGACCTGATCGCAAAAGAATTCTGATACCATAAACCTACGAAAAGGACCTGATCGCAAAAGAATTCTGATACCATAATTATTGCTATAGGAACTTCACAAGAGGCAAAATCACTTACGACAAGAAAGGAACATATGAGAACGGAGATTTTGACACTGTTAGTGACTTTATTAACAAAGAGATTATTGAGAGAGGTAGAGTTGTCTCTCTGAATGAAATCCATTCTTTGTATGGGTTGCAAGTGGATAAAAAACGATATGCACACCTACTAAAACAGAGAATCAATGCAAAGTTTAAGGAGCGGGTAATACTCTTATTGTGACAAACCTGCTCAGGGCAAGAATATCTTGCCAGTAAAGATATCAACAAAGACAGTTTACACCATCGTCAAGACACCATATGAGCGGAATTGAGTTAATTTCGACAGTCGAGGATCAATGCAAAGTTTAAGGAGCAGGGTAATACTCTTATTGTGACAAACCTGCTCAGGGCAAGAATATCTTGCCAGTAGAGATATCAACAAAGACAATTTACACCATCGTCAAGACACCATATGAGCGGAATTGAGTTAATTTCGGCAGTCGAGGAGCAAGTTTAAACAAAATGGAAAAGGGGGATTGGTTCACGGGACCAGACTGGTTGCTCTACGAAACAGTGTGGAACGCCCTCGCTAAGAAAAGAATGACGAAGAAAACTAGTGGACCACTAACCATTGAAGAGATATCAAGCGCACAGAATTTGTGGGTCCGACGTTTGACAAACGGACGTTCGACCAGACGTTCAACCAGACTTAGAGACCCCGGGAGGGAAGCTGGAAAAAGAAGAGACTACAGGCATCTTCTAATGCAAGGGGAGAATCCAGGGGTATGAACCGGTTTTCGTTCCGAATGGGGAATTTGCGGATAAATTAATTCGCCATAGTCATCAGCAAGTTAACCATATGGTCGTTGCGAATACGATGTCTACAATTAGAGAGAACTGGTGGATACCAAGATTAAGATCAAAAGTTTAGAAAATGATCAACCGCTGCAACCTGTGTAAAGAATTCAGTACAAAACCGTATGGGACTACAACAACCGCAAATTTACCTACCTTTTGTACTGAAGGCGGAAGACAGTTCGAGACGACCGGGATAGATTTCGCAGGACCGTTGAGCCATAAAGTATCGAAGACCGAGGAAGGCAAATGCTACATCATCATTTTTACGTGTGCGGCGTCCAGGGCCGTTCATCTGGAAGTTACTAAATCTTAGACAGCTGAGGAGTTCAAGAATAAGCTCAACGCCTTTATCACCCGATGTACGAGACCGAGACGCATTATATCCGACAACGCGTCCACCTTTCAGTTTACTGCCAGTTGGATAAGGAAAATACGAAAGAGTGAATCACTTCAAGACCATCTAGCGCAGCAAGAGATTAGATGGCAGTTCAACCTCTCCAAATCGCCATGGTGGGGAGGTATGTACGAGCGCCTCATCAAGGAGATTAAGAAAACGCTATACAAAACCATGGGAAGGTCACATCTGTATTACGATCAAATGGAAGCGTTAGTAATGGACATTGAGAGACACCTCAACAACCGTTCATTGACCTACGTGGAAAGTCATAATGGTGAGGAGCAGGTGTTAACACCCAATGTAATTATGTGGGGACAGAATTCTCATGTCGTTGAAGACTGTGAAATCGAAGGTAATGAAGTGAGTAAACTCCACGCAAGGTTGATGATGAAACGGCAACACGTATGGCGCCGCTGGGTGAAAGAGTACATCCACAGACTTTTGGAAAACCATAGAATTAATAGAGGAGCCGGAAATGTTCCAGAAGTTGGAGAAATCGTATTGGTTATTGGCGACGGAAAGAATAGGGGAGAGTGGATTAAAGGAAAAGTTACGCATCACATTAAAGGCAAAGACGGTGTGGTGAGAGGGGTGACATTCAAAGACCCGTTACTCTTGTGTGTCCATTAGAAATCAAGTCTGTAGAGAAGGTTCAGACTGAGGAAGCAAGCAAAGATTCGCAGCAAATACGAGCGAAGAGTACTCAGAAAGCAGCAGTTGACGCACGTGAGAAAATACGGTTATTAGCAAATGAAGACGAGTGAAAAGCAAGTTTAAGACACTCAAGAACAAAACATTGAGATACACAGAACTAAAGAAAAATTTGGCATTTTTGTGTTAATTGGTATTTTCAAGTTGTAAAATTATCGAATTCTAAGCGTATAATTTTAGGGGAGCGTGAGCGGAATTGAGTTAATTTTGAAGGAACTAAATTAATTGAAAGTGGAAACACCAAAGGAAATATAGAGGAAACGTACTGAGAACAGAGTGAGCAAGAAATTGTAGAGAGACCTTTTAATTTTATAAATTTTGTATATTTTTTATTTTGTTTGAATTACCACCCATGTTGAGAATCTTCCAGAAATAATATGGCCACCAACGATCAAACAACTTTCCAACGAAGAAAGAAAACCTCCCGAATCAGTCAGAAACTTCTTTTAATCTTTTTTTGGTCATGCAGGTCGTTGTGACAACATCAATGTTTTACGTTTGGCCGATTCTTTCGGCTAAGACCTTGTTGATGGAGTTACCAAAGGGAAAACCATAATGGAAAAGCATTTTCTGATGGGCCTTGGAGTTCGTAACATGTCCGGCCAAAGGAATATCATTGAAATACTAAGTAAGTTTGGCCATAGTGTTAGTTATACAATGGCAAGTGAGATCTTGACTGCTAATGCCGAGAGCTGTGTAGAAAAGTCTAGACTTACTTCACTTCTGCCCTTGCAACCCTCAAGAGCTGGCGAGATTGTTCTCAGTCATTTTTGGGTTGACAATTTTGACTTGGCCATGGACAAACAGTGGTGGAGGTGAAATTAACATTACAATTTTTTTTTTCAAGAAGGGATAACTGTGGAGGCTCGAAATTTTCATGTACATGTGCCAAGAAAAACCTCGAAGTAGTGAAGATCCAGCTCCTACCCCCAAAAAAGTTGCCAGTCAAATCCAGCCACCAACATGCAGCATGGAAATCGTATCAAAGCAATTTCGTTTCAATGACCAAAAGTTCATGACATTCTATTTCGCTTGGATAATTGCCCGGAAGGACAGCAGTTCTGATCAAGCTATTCCGATACTCAATGGTTTCATGACGAATGCACGTAAGACAACAGATCCGGTAGTAAAGAAAACAACTGAAACCTATCTGCCACTGATCAATTCAAAGGTAAGCTAAATTTTAACTCATCTCTGCATTTCTAACGTCACTTTAAGTGTTTTTATGAAATTTTTGAGAATTGCATTTTAAATTACTTGACCGCGATCAAATAAGCTATTTCAAGTAACTATTAAGTAACTCTATCACTTTTAAGGTGAACGACATCAACACGATAAACCAATATCTCAAATTTTTGATAGCTTTGTCAGAAGAAGCCAATATGCCATACCTGAACATAACGCTTGATGTTGGTGCAGCAATGAATGCGTATAAGTTTATATGCACTGACAAAGACCAATACAGGAATGTGTTTATTCACCTTGGCATGTTCCACTTCATGAAGGAAAATGTACATTCTCAATTAGTACTTACAGTGTACAATTTTATTTGAGTTATTTGATATGAAAACTAGTACCAACTACGCCTTTTAAAAGAAATAACTCTCACAATCTTAAATTAGGTGTTTGGATCACTAGTGGCTGGATCTGGATTTGAAGAAATCATTTTTCAGTCTGGTGTTTGCACGTCCGGCAGCTTACAAGGAGTGTTGGCAGGTTCTCACTACAACCGTGGATAGACTGTTCACAATGCCTTTTCTGAGGCGTTAGAACGATTGTTACTTCAACGTTTCATGTATGAGAAATCACCAACGATTCCAGATAGCTTCTACGAGTTGATCGACCTGGACACCATAAAGCTACAATCCTTGGAGAATGACGCCTCAATTGCTTTCACTGAGGAATATGAGAAATACTGATCAAGTGTTCGCCTGGGAAGTGCTGGGAAAACAGTACAGTTCCGGATGATTTATCTAGAGCTAATGGAAGCTAAATTAAGGCTAAATATCCCGTTCCATTTGGCGGGAAATTTTATCCAACAGGGCTCCGTTTAGATTCTTAATACAACATGGTTTAAAAATAAACTTACTAGTTTCCAATTTATCATTCAATAGGTGGTATACGCAATTTTGCATCAAATAGTAATGCAATCCGTAAATGGTGCCTAAATCGAGCAGAGCAGTCAAAGAACATGGGAAAATTAAAGGTGAAAGCTGGAACATCAACAATGACAAATAGACACAGCTGCCTCCAACCATCAAAGATTTTGCCATCTGATGAAGCTGTTTGTCAAATCATGAGAGTATTGACAGAAGAGTATATCAACCCATTTGACGTTGTTATTGAGAGAAATGAACTGTTTAATCTGAGTTCTGGTGTTGCATTGTACTGATGTACTGAAATGCTGGGAGCTTGGTCAATTGAAATTCGAGAAATTTACAAAGGAGAGCATAAGTGGTAAGGTAATGCCTTTCCACGATCCTATCCAGAAAACAAAAATTGCTATGTTTAAGGAGATGACGATATTGAAAAAGGTAACAAAAAATGGGAAATCAGCGGTTATTGAGGCAAATAGAAACATCCTTGGTAAACTACTGGCAATTTCAGGCAAACACGAAAAGAGTATAAATTTTGAAGTGGCTCTTTCCTACCCGCTCTCAACAACGCCGCTATCCCTTTCAAATCCTGATGGATCTCGTAGAGTGACACAAAAAAGTAAGTTTGTCAAGGTGCTTTAATTGTTCCAAGATGAGCCTGGAGCCCAGACCAAGGTCGTTGATGCAGACATATTTGTGATAGATTTCATTGCTCAAGTCAGAATTATTACCAAGGCGGTTCCCGGTACCTATGAGTTAGCTATCAACCTTCTTCAGTCAATCCCTAAAGGTTACGCACACATTGATTTGGTTGCTGACACTTACAGTAAAGCCCCGCATAAAAGAACCAGTGGGTTAAGAACCACCAGCCTGAAATTTGGGCAATTAAGCACCCAAAATACAAGAACCACTTCAGGCTGACAAATGAAACTGGTTCTTAAGAAACCTTATTAAACTTTTAGCTGAATTAGTAAGCAGGTACTAAGAAGAAAACAAAATACTGTAATCTTGCCAGCAGGAATTATGTCTTTCAACCACATCATGCATGCATTTATTTTATCAAAACAGCAATCAATTCACAACATAATTCAACTTGCATAACTATATTCAAAAAACTTACATCATGATGGCCCTTTGTTCACTCAGTACTTGATGGGTATAAAATATACGCTATGCATCAACCATATTAACATAAACAGTAAAAACAAATGACAATGTCCAGTACAAAAGTGAAGAAGTAAGGAATCTAACTTAATTTTATGATATCAGTAAGTTTCCAGTTGCTAGATATTTCAATTTTCTTGAGCTTTTTAAGAAGTTGTTCCAGATAACCAGCATTTCCAATAAGTTTATAGTCCACTGGTATTTCTAGACCTTTGCCTTCCCCTTCATTGTATTTACTCCCAATGCATTCAGCCTCAAGTTCACCATAGTCCACTAAAAATTTGTGAAAGATTTTTGACAATTCGATTGGAACATGCCCTACAGTGTAGCCATCTTCATTCTTAACTACCACAGCGTATTTGTCATATTCATTGTCGGGTTCCACTTCACAAGTCAGTATCTCACCAATGTAAACAGTTGAAGTTTGAAAATATGCATGATAACCACGGATGCTTGCCTCTACATAAATTCCATACTCATTTTCCATTCTTGCAGAGAAATGTCGGTATTTTAGTATATTTTCTTTGAAAAACTAGCAAGAAATATCCAAGATGGCGGAACGGTTCTTACAAGAGTGTCTGACTCGTACCCAGTCGTCTCTCTTTCATGGCATTCACATGATCACATCTTGCCAATCCAGCGCCATTGTAGCTAGTTTGTAACTGTTTATGCAAATGAATCGTACATTATTCGATTGTGGTATCAAAAAGTCAGTAGAACTGAAAGATGGACGGCTTTACGACATTACAGAAACATTAGGAAAGTCAGTTGAACTGAGCAGCAAATCTTTGAAATGCAACATCTGTGAAAAATCGTTTACAGGAGAGCAGTATCTTAACATTCACGTGCGCCTAAAACATGAAATTCAGTCTGCTGCTGCGGCTGGTAACACTCATCGTAGTTTAAGCCAAGGACCATCTGGAGTGTTGCAGACAGATTCATTAGAGAATCTTGACAATCGTCAATCTGAATCAGACAAAGAATTCAATATTAATGGCCAGTCGGGACAAGGCCAAAGGCCACAACAACAGGAAAAGCGAAGAGGAAGTGCTAAACGGAACTCATACACCCTGGACTTTAAAATAAAAACTCTTAACCGTTTGGATCAAATCAAAACCAAGGGAAAGGTGGGCAAATTTTTAGCAGTTGCAAAGGAAAGGGGAGTCAGCAAATCCCTGGTGATAAAATGGAACAAAGAAAAAGACCGATTACAAGAACAACTAGTCCTCAACAAATACAGGAAAAACACGGGCCCAACCACAGCTGCTAGACGAAGGCGGAGAATTACTGATAACCGATCAAAACATATGGAAAAGTACCCTCGGGCATCAAAATTACTGGTATCAGAATTTAAACTGCGTAGAGCAGCAGGCAGCAAAGTTTCTAAACTTTGGATTAAGAAAACAATGAAAGCTAAAATCGAAATGTGCTACGGTAAAGAAGCAGCAGAAAGGTTTAAAGGCAGTCACAACTGGTTTCAGCGATTCAAGAAAAGACATGGCATTGTTCTCAGACGTCGCACAAACAAAAAGAAAGATTCTGCAGATGATGGTAGGAGTACTATACAGAAGTTTCACAGGAATTTGAGGAAATCTTTAAAAACACAAAGGAGAAGAAACAGGTCTTCTATTATTAATTATTTTTAATTATTTTTATTATTTATTATTTTTTTACCAATTATTTGTAATAATCTTAAACCGCTCTGATGATGTTGCGCTGCAAGCAACGAAACGTTAGCAATTAAATTTCTTATATATATTATGTCTTGTCTCAAAGTCATTTGCTGGGCATTAATTTTTATCTTTAAATTAGGTCTTCTATTGATCCAAAATATGGAAGATGGCTACCCAAGAACAGATACAACATTGATCAGGTGCCCCTTGCATTTGTTACTGGGCAAGAAACAACTTATGATACATTGGGTAGCAAGCAGGTATGGGTGTCACAACCATCATCTGGCTTAGATAAAAGGCAAGCTACCCTACAACTTTGTATACGTGCCGAAGGTGAACAAAATGTCAAGCCAGCCATCGTATTCAGGGGAAAGGGGAATTTAAGTATCTTTGAGAAAGAACAGTATGACAAGGGAGTTGATGTGTTTTACCAGCCATCTGCCTGGATGGATACAGAGGTAAATATGCAGTGGGTCAAACAAACACTTGTTCCTGGGATTGGAAAAGACAAAGATGACAAGGTTATCTTTGTTGATAATGTTGGTTTTCAGCAAAGCAAGACATTTCACCAAGTATGCAGAAATGAAATCAATGCATCAGTGTACATGCTTCCTGAAAATCACACGGATAAGATCCAGCCAGTTGATGCAGGATGTGGAAAAATGATGAAAGTAAAAATAGCCGCAGAAATGGAAAGGTGGTTGGAGGAGGAACAAAATCTAGAAAAATGGCATGACAAACTCTCAGCCAGAGAAAGAAGGATCCTTATGACAAAGTGGACAGCAGAGGCATGGAGGGAGCTAAGTAAAAATAAAGAATTTTTTAGAAGATTGTTTGAAAAAACTGGCTGTTTGTTAACAGCTGATGGTTCAAATGATGATAAGATCTGCCCCCAAGGGCTAGACAATTACCAATTCTAGTTAAAGACAAGTTACATTTATAGTTTATATAATTAACAGTTAAATTACAGTTCATTTACTAGTCTCATTGTATACAATAAGAGGTTTAAAACTCTAAACCAGGAACAATTGTTTTTGACTGGAAATAAGAACCAGTTAAGAACCACTTCAGCCTGATTTCTTTCTAAGTACCTGTTATAAAAGAATCACTTCAGCCTGAAGTCAAAATTCACTGGTTCTTTTATGCGGGGCTTTACTGTATCGCAGGTTTAGCATCAAAACAGCTGAAAGGAACAAAAGAGGAATGGCGTCCAAGGTTACTATTAGGTCAGAGAAATCAAAGATTCCTCGAAACTTTAAAGCCTTCATGATGAGTAGTGAGAACAAATGTCGCCTAATCGACATAATTTTTGACTTCATCATAAAGGAAAAAGCCCATTGTCTACAAAATTCTTCTATCAAGAGATGGTGAATGTCATGAAGTGACATCATCAGCAGCAAATTGTTTGGATCATTTATCAAGCAATCAAGAGGAAGCTGACACAAAAATTATTTTACACTCTCTACGCACTAGATAAGCATGACTCAAACATTCATTTTCGATCACCATCAGCTGACACTGACATACTTGTGCTATGCATTGCTTTAATTCCAAATCCTGAAAGAGTATAATATGATTATGGTGTTGGTAAGAATAGAAAGTCCGTCCACCTTAATGATTATCAAGTCCCACCTGAGGAGCGAAAAGCACTTATTGGTTTCCACGCTGTGACAGGAAACGATTATACCTCATCCTTTTTTGGCAAAGGGAAAAACAAGTGCTGGAAGATTATGAAAGGGAACCAGGAATTCGTTACAGCATTCCAAGAAATCGGAGATGATTGGGAACTTTTGGAAAATTTGATTGCTTCACTTGAAAAGTTTGTATGCAAGCTGGTATTGGGAAGGATGATGTTTTGTTTACCAGAACAGTTGATCTGACGACCAATGACAAAGAGGATGCAATAAGATCTAAACTGGTTGATGTTTTTAGATCCAGACTAAGTGATTTAAAAGCAAATGATTTTTCTTTTGTTAAAGTTTCAAGAAAGATTGTTTCTACCCCAGCATGCAAAGAAGGTCACAAATGGGATTATGCCCAAGTTAAAACAATTAAGGGTCAAAGAAAGTTATACATCTGTTTAGAAAAGCCTCAGAGTTCTTTAATGTCATCATTAGCACCCCAGGGGGATCTAATATTGCAACAATCCTGGTCAAAACATTGACGACACTCTGTGTTAGTTGACACTACAGTCAGCAGTCGCAGGGTTTATTTCAAAATTCTCCCCCTTTCCCCCACAAATCAATGTTGAGTGATGTGTCATAACTCATTCAAGCATTTAGCATAGATTCAACATTGATTAGGGGGGCGAGGGGGGGAAACGAAACAGAAATATTAATATTTTGCGTAAAAAAGTACAAATCATTCAGAGTGTAGTCGATGGTTTTGGCCAGGATTGAAGCAATCCAGTGTTTTTAAATGCACAAGACAATAGTGGAACTGAAAGAATAGAACCTGGACAGCATTTTACATCACATCACCAACAAATTGATCTTGGTCAACCATCTTCATTTGGTTGTGAACAAATTGATCTAACCAGTGATCAACCATCTGCATCAAATCATGATCAGGTTAATTTTGATGACAAGGAAGATATTGAGGCTCTACAAACAATGTTTCCAGCAAGAAGTGAGCAATATCTTCGCCAAATGAGAGGAAATAACACTACCCTACAAGACACAATTCATGACATTTTGAGAGAAAATGGCAATATCAATGGTATAGGTTATAGATATTTTTAATTAAAAACATGCTACAATGTTTGTACTCAAGAAAAACTGACACATGAATAGCCTGTGTATGTACTGCAAAAGACCTTTGTTTTAATTCTTAATTGACATGCTACTCACACTTTTCAACACAGTTCAATTACACATATAATAGTTTTAAATCAGGTATATTCATCTGTGTGTGGAATTATTAAACTCTGTGTTTTTTCCTGGCAAATATCACTTTTGATTATGCTATTTTGCATGTTGTGATATAGGGGAGAAACAAATGGGAACTGCATCAGATTTATTAATCAACTAAAGACGTCTATGAAGCCATACATGGAATCGGTTAAGCTAAAAATTGACAAAGAGGACTTAGTAATGGATTTCTTTCATTTTTACAAGAGCCCTGAATTTTATGCTGTGGTGCCATTGAAAGTACAAATAAGAGGAGAACCGGCAATAGATACTGGAGATGTCCTACGTCAAGCATTTACCGACCTATTTACTGAAATTGCAAGTGGAAAATCTTTCCTACGTTTATTTAGAGGTCCCCATCAAAAACTTACTCCAATTTACAGCAGTTAACATGTCTTGACTGGAATATTTGAAGTGTTTGGAAAGATGATAGCTCATAGCTTAGTACAAGGTGAGGTGGTTTCCCATTCCTTGCTCCTGGTATTTATTGGTATACAACAACAGGAGATTTGTCTGAAGCTGTTGCTCGAGCTTCGTGTCTTGATATTGGTGATGGTGAACTTTCTTGTTTTATTGAAAGGGTAAGATGTTCAAAAAAACGACAAATACTTTGAAACCTTTCAAATTCTTGTTTCCCATGATTCAAAATTGTCTTGTCAAAATTAAATGGGAAAAAAAAAAGGAATGGGTCACAGAAGTCATATTGTTTTTATGGATAAGTTGCACATGTGTGCACTGGAGGATCTCTTGGTGCTACTTGAGCGTTTCTTTATGCTACTCATGCCTATTCTCTGCCATAAAAACACCATAATTTGTTATAGCAGAAAACTGTAGGTTTCTGGTTTACCAGCCCTAACTGTTTTTGACATCCAAAATTGCCAAACCAAATCCTTTTGCTGATTTATTTTAAAGTTGAGCAAAGCCACTGTAATTAGATATTTAAACCCTTAAATGAAAATATTTTCTAATTATTTGAAACTATTCAGAAATGTAATAATCATCTTGAGATACATGGTTTGAAAAGTTATTTGACCATATTCATTCTGGCATATGCCATTATTTTTTAGTTATTTACTATAACACAAACTTGCATATATGCATGTCTCTTCAACTATAATGCTACAATCTTGGAAAAAATATTGGGAGACTCAAAATTAGGAAAGTCTACGAATTTTTTTCCAGGATTGTCTGAAAAATGGAAAATAGCTAAAAGTTTGTAATGTTAATTAGAAATAAATTTTAAACTATAATTCCACCATTTTGCAGTAATATACTTGTGGCAACTACTTCTTTGTTGCAGTAGGCATTTTGGGGATGATGGAGGAAAATCGGGGGGGGGGGGTTAAATAAACTGCCAAAAAAGTGTCTTTGACGCATTCTGCTCAAATTAGAGCAGCATATCAGCTTTCAAAAGTCCGCGGGTCGAGCCTTTTACAAATGTTTCCTCAGTACTCTAAAGCTGCTATATATAAACATGCCAAGAAACCTTTAAATGGTGAGCCTGTTTTTGATAAAAGAAGACAAAATAAAAGGAGACCAACAAAGTTATCCCCTCAAGACAAAAGGAGTGTAGTACGCTCGTTAAAAAATCTCCGAAAGAATGAAGGTTCGTTTACGTCCAAGTGTATTCAGCTGGACAGTGGTTTAAAGCATGTAACCAGCTGTGCGGTACGGAATCATTTAAATGCAGAAGGCTAGTGGTATTTACAAACAAGAAAAAAAGGTCTTCTTCATGCCAAAGATCTGAAATCTAGAGCCAGTTTTTGCAGAAAGATAAGAAGGCAGCAATTGGGTGTCGAATTTTGGAGAACTGGTATATCCTTCTATTTAGATGGGAAAGGATTTCAGTACAAACGTAATCCTTACGACCAAGCACGTGCACCAGGTGCTCGAGAATGGAGGAAACGGGGAGAAGGTTTAAAATTCAATTGCACAGCCAAGGGAAAAAAGGAAGGTGGTATTAATGTCAATTTCATGGTTGCTATATCTTACGGCAAAGGCGTTGTCTTGTGTTAGCAATATGATGGAACAATCACTGGGAATAAGTTTGCCGAAATTGTTAAGTCATCTTTTCCCGAAACATTTAAAAAATCTTCAAACCCAAAAGGAAAACGATTCCTCATGGATGGATGCCCAAGGCAAAATTCCAAGATGGCAAAGCAAGCTATCAAAAAAGTCGGTGGTTTAGTGTTTAAAATTCCTCCCAGAAGCCCTGATCTTAATCCAATTGAAAATTTTTTTCATTCGCTTACTGTTCGTTTAAATCATGATGCTGTTGAAAAACAAATCGTAAACGAAAACATTAAAGAACTGTCTAATCGGGTCAAAACAACCATGCTGAATTTCAGTCCTGAGGAAATTGATAAAATCATTGACAGCATGGATAGAAGGATTACGGCGGTTATAAGAGAAAAGGGTCAAAGAACCAAGTACTGAGTCGATAATTTAAAATGTCATTTAATCTTTGTAGTCTTTGACAAGAGTGTTGAACTTTTACCAGTGTAAATAACTCAGCAAATTGCACATTATACGTGCTTTAATGCTAATTTTAACTCATGTATAACTATTATGCAGAAACATTCACTTTTTATAAACTTTTCTATGTAAAAACTAATGTTAGTTCTAGCAACACTCTAAGCATACAAGGCTTAAACTAAAATTATCGCATGTTACATCATGTTACACTATGTGTTACACAACGTGTTACACCAAAATTACTATATTTTACTATAGTTTTTGACATGTTACAACATGTTATACCTACTTTTTAAAGAAACTATAGTTATTTAAAGACTAGGTGTAACATGTTGTAACATGTTAAAAACTATAGTAAAATATAGTGATTTTAGTGTAACATGTAGTGTAACATGTAGTGTAACATGTAATGTAACATGTAGTGTAACATGTAGTGTAACATGGCGTAACATGTATATTTTAGACTTCTTATAAAGTGTATATAGTATAAAGTTCAATTGTAATGGTTATTAAATTAATGTTTCTAGTCCAAACAG